AGTCTCAGGAACTTTCCTGCCCAGGCTGGATTTGAACCATGATCCTCAGATTTCAGCCTCCTGCCTAGCTAGGATTACAGGTGTGAGCCACCAACACCGGCTAGTATTTAAATATGTATATAATGTGTCGTGATCAAGTTAGAAGAAGTAGCATTTCCATCTCCTTTATCATTTCATTATGTTTTCAGGCTTTAACTTCAATTCTATTACTTCTCTGATACATTATATTATTTACTCAGAGTGCAGTTTAATCTCAGCTCTCAGTCACAGACACTGAGCACTAAGAGCTTGATGCCAGAGTCAGGAATCTGAGCTGAAGTCTGATGACCAGGCCTTCAGCAATGGGAATGATAAGACTTAGGATCTTTAATGACTATTTACAAAATGTAAATTTCTGAAGTTAAAGTTTTTCTGTGAATTCCCTTAGAGGCTGATGTATACATTTTTCCCTAGGCTTTCTAATCTACCCCTGTGACTTGCTGACAACTTCACTGGTCTCTTCCCTGTTCAGATTCTTGATATCCTTACTGTAGGATAGACCAGAAGTATTTACAGTCAGTACCATCATTATTGTCATCATCATCCCATGCCCAAATATGTTCACAGCACCTACAGATCACAAACCTATGTATGTACATTGCATGCCCATGCCATAGCTCATGTATGTAGGTGACAAAGCTCTAGTAGGGACATTACCTCTCCTTCCCCACAACAACCCTGTAAATTACGGCGAAAATAATTCACCATCTCATTTTCATGTGGAGAACATTGAAACCAGAGAGCTGGAGGTTGCTGGATAGGATAACCACAAACAAGGAAGTTCAGCTCCCAGCTCCCAATCCTTCTCACCTCACTACACATAAGAATTTGCAAGATACATGTTTGAAATATGAAGCCTGTGGTTCTGAGTGAATGGAGGATGTATTGAGGTTTTGTTTTGAATTATATTTTGGTGACTCAAACAGGTAATGGTTGAATTTCAGGCATCAACAACTGTGAAATAGGGAAGCATCATGGGGTAGAGGGAGAGCCTCCTACAGCCCTCCACCTCTGGTCTTGCCACCACATGAACCACTGGGATGAAGGTAAAGCCTACCAGAGCACAGTTTCAGCAGATTGCATGAGCTGAGGCTTCAGCCAACCAATACCAGTTATCCACAATGTCTCCTTCTGTGGCCAAAGAAAAAGAACCTAAGGCCCAGTGAGCACTAAAGTGAACACGCAAGCTAATTAAAGGATTCTCTGTGACAATGGCCTTTGTAGAGGGGATTTGCTCGACTCCCTCTCTTGTTCCCTGGATTAAGATGACAAAAATGAGAAAGGAAAAGAGTGAAATCGTCTCAGTCTTATAATAGCATTCTCCACCCACTGGTGGGGAATCTGCCTTTCTTCTGTCACCTTAAATGAACAAAATCACCCCAACAGGCCCTGGTAGAGTGCCAAAAATCAAATAAAAGACTCAACGATCTTTCCAAAACCAGGCCTAAGGCAAGAGTGTCCTGGCACTCCTTTGAAAGAGCTCTCACATCACTCGCTCTCTCTGAAAGGCTTGGTGTGGGCTGGGAAGGAAGCTGGAAAGATGCAGGGGCCCCTTTTGAGAAAGTGAGAATGATATATATATGAGGTGCAACTCCCAGGATCAAGGGGATAGAGCAACCCATTCTTCTTAGGCTTAGGCCTGGTCATGGCTCTAATATGCTATGTCATTCAGATGATGATGACTTCATTGTCAGCAAGCGAAAGGAGTTTTCTGTTTATGATGGTGCAAAATCACTAGCAATCCTAAATTCAAAGCATAAGTGGATAAAGATTTGCTGACTACTAAGCACTCCAAACCAGTTCTTCACACAGCAGGAAAGATCATTTGTGGAGTGCTACACTAGAAGAAAAGAAAGGGAAGGCAAGGCAAGGCAAGGCAAGGCAAGGGAAGGGAAGGGAAGGGAAGAGAAGGGAGAAGAGAAGAGAAGAGGGAAGGGAAGGAGAGGCAAGGCAAGGCAAGGCAAGGCAAGGGAAGGTGAGAGAAGCCAAGGGAAAAGAAGTGAAACAAAACTCCACTCCAGGGAGAGAAGCAAAGAAAACCTTTATTTATACAATAAATATATAATAATGAAGATGAAATAAAAATAATTGTGTTTTATTGGCCTAACCCTAGGACCTCTCAATAAAATTAATAGTCATATGAACTAAATTAAAAGATTTTAATTATTTATGGATATAGATTCTAATTCTGTTAATTCAGCTTATTGGAAGTGTAAATAGGAAGATTTCAGTCTAGGCTGGTCCAGGCATACATGAAACCTTATCTCAAAAACAACCAAAGCGAAGAGTACTTGGAACATAGCTCAGTTGATAAAGTATCTACCTCGCAAAGACAAGGTCCTAAGTTCAAATCCAGTACAGCTAACAGCTAAGAGCTAACAATAATAATAATAATATGGTGACCTAGCCAGCAAAGACAAGAGGCTCATATAGTTCAAAGCCAGTCCAGGCAAAAATTAGCTAAACCCTATCTCAAAAAGCAAGCTAAGCATGGTTGCATACTTTATCATAAGTGGTAAAGACAAGAGGATCTCAGTCCAAGACAAAGTTAATATGAAGCCCCATCTTGGGGAAAAAAAAAACCTGAAAAGCAAAAGAACTGGGGACATGGCTCAAGTGGTGAAGTACTTGTCTAGCAAGTTTTTAAAAAAACATTAAGAAATATAACTCACTTTTCTAAAATTAATTTAGCCATCTATATGTTTTTTATTTTTATTTTTAAAATATGTTACCATTATTGCAAAGGTGTTGTACAGAGGGGTTACCATTTCATAAGTCAGGAAATGAGTAGCTTTCTTTCTTTGGACAATGTTACCTCTTCCTTTGGTCTCTCCACGTATATTTTTAATTTATACACATAGGAAGTATCTGAAAGGATGTTCACCAAATGTTACCAAAGGTTATGTCTATGTTGTGGGATTGAGTTGTCCTTTTTTGTAATCCTCTTTCTTACAGTTTTATATATTAATTTATTTTTAATGAGTCTATTACCATTTTTACCATAAGTCATCATTTATTTTAAAACTTAATGGAGCCCCCTCCCACTTGCACTAGAAGTCATGAGGAAAAGCACTATATGACAATTCCAACACAGATTATTTCCTCCGATGCTCTCACATTTCATTACCAATTATCCCCACTTTGATTCCCGCCCCCCAATATGATACAAGAAACACTGTGCTCAAGGTTAATTTATAAATCGACAACTTCCTCTACCCTGATGTAAAATGAGACACAGGTTCAAGGTATGGGGCTGATAAATCACACCTCTCAACACCTGACATGAACAGGGACTTGAGGAGTTCCATTGTAGACTGGGATGAGCAAGTTCAGGGAAAGAGCCTGGCCTTTGTATGTACATACAACCATGGCCACTCACCTCCTTCTTCTGGGTCCATGTCAACTGAAACCAGAGCCAAACCCAACCTCGAGTCAGAGCAGTGACCAGGAACCACATACATCATCCTCAGAACATGACTTTCTGCTCTAGCCTGGACACCATGGTGAGGTAAAGAAAACAGAGAACTTTCCTTGCTCATTGTGGTCTTGGGACAGGAGGAACAATTTGTGTGCTCCAATGGTTTCACTTGTAATTAGTAAGAGGCAGGCCATTGTGCATGGCTGGTCCTCTGTCAAGAGATATGCTTTTTCCTGTTCCCTGGCTCTATAACTCATAGCTCACCCTCCTAACAGAGGCAGGAAGATAGTATCCAAGGGCCTAAATGAAAATCAAAATTCTCTCTCTCTGTCTCTCTCTGTCTCCCTGTCTCTGTCTGTCTCTCTTTTTTTCTCTCTCTCTACTTGCTTTCTTATTCTCTCTCCTTCCCTCTCTCCCTCCCACCCTACACCACCACCCCCGGACAGGCCTCAGTCTTCCCTATCTGTAGATTAGCAGTATTGACCCAGGAAAGTCTTTTCTGATTCTGACATTTTAATTCTAAGTTCCCTATAAATCAAGTAACAAGCAACCTCAAACTACATCCTCATTCATTCCTATTACCCTGGCAGACAAAGTAGTGAATTCAATCAAGCATGTTGAAGACCACAGCACACTTCCTGTTTCTCTGCTGTCCCTGCTACAGGTCACAGACAGCCGTCAGAAGGCAGCCGTCCCAGAGCTCAGCCAGGGAGGGCTGGGACTGCTGGGCAGTGAGCAAGGACTATGTCCTTCCCCAAGGTCAAGGGAAGTCCTGGGTGCAGGCAGAGTTGTTTGGTTTTGGCGTGTGCCAGGATAAAAGGCAACATGGAAGCAGAAGGCTCAGTCATTCATTAATTAATTACAAGTGTAATTGAGGGTTTGTTCTGAAGAGCAATTCCTCTGAAATTACTTTCCATCACATGGGGATGGCCACAGAAGAATCAGATATTTATAGTCCTCTTGGTTTCCTTCAAGCGCCCAGAGTAAGCTTTCTTCTAGGATCTAAGATACTGCTCTGATTCACCCTTTATATATCCCTCTCACTCTTGCTTTAAAATGTGTGTGTTTGTGTGCGCCTGTTTGTGTCTGTGTGTCTATGTTGTGTATACTTAATGTCTGCTTTTAAAAAAGAAAATCTGCACTGTATGCAATACCTTTAGTGTAGACTCTAATCTGACCCTTTCTCAAAAAATAATTAGACAATAGAAAAATTCCACTGAGAGATTAGAAGGATACCTGAGACTCCTACTAGCCCAATGTAGTGAGCTACGCCTCCAGTTGGCAATGGAAGGGAGGAAGCAAAGTGGCATATTGATGTGGTTCTAAACAACAACAGTGCATCTTGGCCCAGGGGCACTTTGGGATTGACCAAGAGGAAACATACATTGCACAATGATAGGATCTTGTTGGTACAGTTGTCAGAGAAGGAAACTCCCACAACAAAGGGCATAAAAACCATTCAGAGCAGTCCAGAGAGGCTCAGTGTCGTAGCAGGCAGGGGAGCAGAACAGAGCCTGGCCCTGTCCTGAACACAGATGGGACCATGAGCTCCAGCCGTAGCTTTAGCCAGAACCATTCAGCCTCCCTCCATGGGATCAGAGGCAACTGGGGCCAGCCAGGGAGCTTCCCCCGGGCCCCCAGCGTCCATGGAGGTGCTGGAGGGGTTCGCATCTCCCTCTCCTCCACCAGACCAAGCTGCCTACCCCCTCGAGGGTCTTGGGGGTCCGAAAGAGGTGGTTCCCTCCTAAGTGGGGATGGAAAAGCCACCATGCAGAATCTCAATGACCGCCTGGCAACCTACCTGGACAAGGTGCACGCTCTGGAGGAGGCCAACTTGAAGTTGGAAAGCCGCATCCTCCAATGGCATCAGCAGAGAGATACTGGCAGCAGGAAAGATTATTCTCAATATGAGGAAAACATCAGCCACCTGCAAGAGCAGGTAAGACGCTAGTGGTCTTGAGGTGCACACAGCAGTCACATGACCAGGGGGACCCTGGGGGAGGAAGAGCAGCACAAAAACCACCAGTAAATGCTCACAGAGATAATGTGGGGATATCTTCTCAATACTGCTTGAATATGCACTTGAGGAAAATCTGTATAATTCATGTAGCACAGGAAGGCGGCAAAAATATAATAAGTGTAAGAGGCTATTTTGTTAAAGAGTGAACCTTTCTGATTTATTTTTTCCTATAAACTAAAAAATAAAAATCTTTAAAAGGTTGAGGTAGCCAGGGAATGCGCAGTATCACTAACTGATTCAACAATGTCACAGCCATGGTAGCAGCTGGTATGCATGTGGCATACTGGGCACACCAGGCTCAAGAGAGTATTTACTTTCTCATTACATCAGTTCTGCTCCACCTCACGGTCCTGGCAGCAGTGTGGCTCTCCATCAACAAAAGGCTCCGTTGTACTGCTGTGGCGATCAAGCCTAAAATCTGTCATTCTACTAGCCGATCTTTATCCTTGTGACATCTCTGGATACTCCTTCTTGGGAGCTGCTAAAAGAAAAAGTAAAAATGGCATATTACTAGGAAAAATAATAGGAAGAACCCAGATTTGAACATGTGTGAGTTAGGATGGTTTGCAGAGACATGTTTTGGAAAATAAATAACTTATCAATCGAACATCTAAAATGCCAAGTGTGTACCTTCTGGGACATCTAGCTGTAAGCAGAGGGAGCTTGGTTATTTTATTATCTATTTTAAAAAAATCCCTATACTTTCCCTCATGTAAAGTAGTCTCAGAAAATCCCTGTAAGATCATGAGTTACCCTCCCCTAAAAAGGGCATCCTAGGCTCTCAATATTTATGCCGTATTATTTCACAATACTCGTCATTCTTGGTTGAAGGTAGAAAAGACCAATCAAGATAGTATAAATCTGTCCTTGTAATGAACCCTAATTATTGAATAATCGGCCTAATAACTGAGTATGTAATTACCTTAACTACATAGTGCATGGTTGTCTTTATGAAAAAAAACAAGGTGACTCAACATCCTCACTGTGGTTTTGCATTTAAGTTGCTTTGGTTTTAGAAATGGAGGGAAAAAGATGCTTGACTCCCCAAAGAAATACAAGGTTATACTTGATCAAATAATGTATTCACTAGTAGAAGAGGGAAGGGAAGGGAAAAGGGAAGGGAAGAGGGAAGGGAAGAGAGAAAGGAAGGAAAGAGGGAAGGGAAGGAAAGAGGGAAGGGAAGGAAAGAGGAAAGGGAAGAGGGAAAGAAAGAGGAAAGGAAAAAAGAGGGAAGGGAAGGAAGAGGGAAGTAAAGAAGGAGAAAATCATTATTGAGCATTTCTTGTGTTTCTTGTATGCCAGACGTCGAGTCAGGTATCTGTGATAAGAGGTTTCTACAGTGACAGAACTGTCATTGTATCATCTGATTTAATTCTTAACAAGTCGGTATAATTTGTGGAGGGGAAAGGGAAAAACAAATGGTTTAAATAGGGATACAGGTGGACCCATTGCAACAATGAGATGTACAAGTCGTTATGTCAAAAATGAACTTTACAACTTTCGTGCAGGGAGGGGCCGTGGGGGAGGATTGGGTGGGGGAGCCGGAGGGGAGCAAGAGGATGGGAAGGGATGGGAAGGGGAAACAAAGGAGGAGGCTACAATGCTTGATAAGAAATGTACTCATTATCTTGCCCATGTAATTGTAACTCCTCTG